TTCTTCATAATGAATTTTTTCTAATAAAATTAATTCGTTTTTATTATTTTCTAAACAACGTTTACATTGACAATTAAAATAATAATTATTCCGTAAAAGATCTTGTCGATTTTCATATGTATCTAATAAATCAATATAATTTATAGTCCATTCATTGTTTTGATCATTTGATATAATTCGAACAGTTAAATAAATACCATTGAATATTGTATGACATGCTGGTCGACATGAATGATTATATATAGTTGCATCTAAATATAAACCATAACCAATAGATTTTAAATCAATTGTATCATGTATTGTTAATGTATTTATAATTAAACGACAATAAAGTTCAAATAATATTTTATCATCAATATCATTTAATAAATTCCATGATTTTAAATATTGATTTATTAATTGAAATGTTTTATAACGTTGTTTATCATTATAAATATCATTTTCATGTGTTTTAAGATCATTTAAACAACGTTTTGTATGAGAATTATCTTCTTTACCATGATCTTGTTTATAACGTATAATTAAACGTAAAAAAAGTCTTATTAAATCATATTCATTTAGAATTTCATGTAAATGTAAACATTCATATTTATGATAAATCCAATCTTTTCGTTGACATGATATTGAACAATATGATATACGATGACATTTTGAACAACGTTTTAAATCATTTGATGAATTTAAACATTGTGAACAATATGTTGTTGTTATTGTTGATGATGATGATGAAAGTATATGAACATAAGGTAATATCGATGACAAAAGATTTGTACCACAGTTGACCATCTTTTAATCTATATATTTCTATCTGTAGTAAATATGTGTAGTGTTCAGTTACATTATATGACAAAAAGAACAGAAGAAGAAAGAGAAAAAAAAACCACAAATAACTATTGCCGTAAGTGATAGATGGTATGGCATTCTCTAACGATGCCGACCCGACAAGAGAACGAGAGAGAGAGAGAAAGAAAGAGATCCTCACAAGGGAAATCGATTTTTTTTTTCGCATACGCTGATGGTTTATAGCACTACTCTTTACCATAAAATAAAAACAAAATAAGAAAGAGCGAATTAGATCATATGGAGGATGAACAGAAAAACATCGAGAAGATGAAGACGAGCATAAACTAACCACTAGAACAACTGCTACTATTCTATACATATCCAATATCAGTCAAGGCGAGGTCATCCAGCGGCAGCAATATGAACTAACAGTTAAAGAAAAGAACGAACATGCAAGCATTTTATACACTCACCCGATAAATGGAACACATAGAGAACAGATAATCTCTGATGACGATGATGATGGTGTTGGTTAGCATAAAGAAAAGACGAAAAAAAAGCTGATCTCGTTTATTTACGAGACTAAGAGGAAGAGAAAAAGTGGAAACCAATAATACAATATATTCATTAGTGATTCTTGCTTCTTTTTTTTCCCTCATTGTCAATCAATCAATTTGCATGAGAGAGAATATAATTAAAGAAGTTGATATCATAGAAGACAAAGATGTCTACATGATAAGCATGTCTCGACTAGTAGATAGTGATGAACATCATCATTCATCAATTTGTTTAGCTTGCTTCTTTTACGAATTAAATGAACGAGAATGACATCACACACTAGAAATATTTACATAACTTATGAGCAAAAATGAAAATAATGCATTTCATTTGGGAATGAATATAAGAGATACTAAGACAATATATCAAATAGATCTTCATTTTTTCTCTATAAAAATTCAAATAAAATCAATGAGAAAATTAAAAGTAAATAAGAAAAAGATAAAACAATTTCGATTGCGAATTCTCAAAAGAGTAATTTAAAAAAAACCAATTAAGAAAAATAAAGCACAGTTCGTGACAAAAAGAAATTCTCGTTTTCAGAATAAATAGAAAAAAAAAACTTAGGTAGACAGAATACAAAGAACAAGAAAATTTAACACTGGTCAAAAGCCGCAAAATTTTAAGTCAATGGCGGCCATTAGTACTTTGTAGATGGCATATGATAACCAATAAAAGAATCGTTGTTCACCTCTAAACTCACGTGTTAAGTGATAAATTTATCTCCATTTTTTTTACAACAATCTTATTCTGAATTTACAAGGAAACTTTTACTCAACAAAAAAAGAAATTTATATATAGTTGCAATAGATGTCGCTCATTATTCGAAAGCTTTAATCATCATCGATGATTTGAGAGTTTTTTTTATATATTGAGTAAAGCAGAGAATTTAAAATCATGTTTAACATTCCATTCCAAAAGTATCGTTATTTTTTATATGTTGAAAAATAGATATGTGTTCATTCCAAAACATTTTTTTTGACAGATATTTACAAAAAAATTAGAAGAGAAAGTCTCGATTGATGAAAACGTGTTTTTCCAAATGTAACTATGGTTTTTAAGCAAAGAAGAAATTTAAGTAATTCCTAGAATTTTCAAAAACTATGTGACTCAAGTATGGTCGAGCAATTGTATTGTATACGTCTATAATCAATTGTTCAACTTTTGTTTAAAAAAGAAGTTTTCGATTTTATAATTGAATCTTATGAAGGAAGTACCCTCATTGTAACTCGCTGTTAGAGGTCATATTGAGCCACAAACAAATCTCGGAAAGAGACAGGTGTAATGATTATTAGAATATTCCTTTGTCAACATATAAAATTTTCAAATAAACTCGATTTTTGTAACATGTTTATCATAAACGAATACTTGTTGAAAATTCAATATATCGTCCAAGGAATATTGTTTTTTACTTAAACTTTCTGGTTGAAATATCATTCTTTTATTCAGGAAATACCTAAAATGGGTCCAAAATTCAGTAAAATGGTCGTATATACGTTCTGAAAGCACAGAAACAAAATCTTTTTGCGGTAGTTCTCTGGTTAGTATGAAGTTTCCATCAAGAAAGTCCACTTTAACATGCATCTATAAAGCGAAGGAGAAACAACTAAAATCAGATTTTTAAAATTAAACTGATTAACCTAAATTTTTTGGCACTATTTAGATAAGTTGACAGTTAGTTAAATGATATTTTTTTGCGCTTCTGGATTAAGAATCACATTGATTGCGATACTTAACATCGATCTCATTTGAAATCGATTCGGTATAAAACATAGATATTTTGCCAGGTCACAATGAGTACTTATAAAGGCATCTAAAAAATGTCGTAACAATATCGAAATATTATTCAACGTTTTAAATCAGATTATATCTCGGGTAGGTATTCGTATGTCTTCATCACGACGTGTCTTAGTATTCCGATAAGATAGATTGATCTCGCATGCGTTAACAACAAAAAACTGTTTGTTTATGTCGAAATTTTGTGTGTCTATTGGTTTTGAGTTTACAGTATGCCTGAACAATCAAGTGCCATAGTGCCATAAATTCACACGCCTGGTACAGCCGCCGTCGCACTTTTGCGGTGCCTGCTCATCTGAGACGAATTCAAACCCTGATTCTGGAGCCCGTTACAGGCAATACAGATTGTCTGTCGCTCATGTTTTTTTATATATATTCAATAAAAAACTTCGTTTTCTTACTAAGAAACTTAGATGTCCACATATAGAGTAGAGTATCTTTGCCATCGGCAGACGAAAAATTTATTTGTGACATCAAAAAACAATTTTTATAACTTGATTGGTCTTCAGTAGATAAAGTTTCTATACATTTCACCGGATTCTGATAGAATGTTCAGTTTCCATTTTGTTTTTATTAGATTAAATACTCAAGAGTCTACTCCATGATCTTCCATAGTAATTATCCTATATGTTTGTTCAAGATAATCATAATCTACCTCCGTATATGCTGTTCATCATTTTGTATTTACTTTTTAACTTTTGTGATAGCGAGACTAAAAATGTTAACCATCGAATCTTTGGCTTTTTGACAATGAATGTCATGCATAAGACTTTAAATTGTCCATTTTTGTATTGGTGATTAAATAAACTCAATTAGAAAAATAAAATGTTATTTTTGTTGAAAATTTGGCAAATGCATTCTTTTTATTTATCTTATTGACAGCTATCATGAAACTTTTCAACTATTTAAAAACCAACATTTACAAGATTTATTACGTAGAATATATTGTAAAAGTTTCGTTGTTCTGAAGTTCTTGCTTATTGCATTAGTTCTGCAACAGCCATATCAACCATCATTTGATCTTAATCAGCAGTAGTCTTTCGCGGTGCTCCGGATTGAGAACGGTCGGGGAGATTTTTTGTTTCTTTCCAACGATTTAGCCAGTTAGTTACGGTCTTCGGATTACATTTCATGATCTTGACAACCTTATGGGAGCTCAGTTGTGGGCCGTTCTTGAGAGTGTGGGCGTGGACGTGGGTGTGGGTGTGGACGTGGGTATGTGGGGGTGGGTGTGGGTGTGGGTGTCGTTGAGACAAGGCCCCACCCCACCCACACCCATATCCCACACCATCCACACCCCACACCCAAACCCAAACCGACACACCCACACCCACACATCCACACCCTGTTTCAGCTTCAAAGGAGCTGCATTGAGAAGCTTTTTCATAAGTGCCAATCTAGATTGATATCAACGAGAGTGAAATACAAACATGGGAATCTATTGATTTACGTGAAATACTATTTTGAGTTCTGTAAGAGGAAGTTTTGTTTGACACTCTTTGCTATGGCTTCTAAAACTTGATAGCTTCCTGTTCGTAGATTGTGTAACATGTTCGTTTCCGATGCGAGATCGAGACTAGTAGTACCTGTTGTGATGCGCTTAGTTTCTAGGAAATCTACAACCTGCTCTTGGTTCTCTCTTGCTTTTGTCCAATCTCGTTTCATGATGTATATATAAACACACATTTTGTGTACAATGATAACATAACTCGATTTTGGTGGAAGTTCATGCATATTTAATACATTCGTAGCGAACTGCAACGCGATTTCGAACTCACCTTGTTGTAGAAAAATCTTAACAATATTGATATTGACTGTTACATTTTGGAGCAAGTCTCTTACATTTGAGCTGTCTGGTTGATTCACGCATTGTAAGTAAAGTCAAGAGCTAGGTCTGTATTACCACATTGTTCGGCTTCTTGTGCTTTCTGTAATAATGATTCTCGTTCACTGAAATGATTGCTGCCTAAGAGATGTCGTAACTCATTTTGTGTTATCGTTTGAGGATTTGATAGATCCTGGTTTCGTCCATTATTAGAGCTAATAAAACCCATACTTTGAAGTAAAATTTCAGGATTTATTATACTAGACAATGGTTGTACTGCATGGTAGAGTCGTTCCCGAAAGTTTCTGGGATCGACTTCATGAAGAGAGTCGAATGATGCTATTTCTGTAATAAGGCTCACCAGATCGGGAGCAATAGTAGCTGTGATTTGCCGACTTTCGTCAGACACACTATGCCGTATAAAGTCTAATGCACCATTTTCACTTAGTAAAGCTTTCAAGCTATCAAAATGTACTTTGATACCTTTGCACAAATATTCGAAGAGCGGATCAATCCGTTGCTCTCTAACGAATCGAGTTTTAGCCATATCGTACATTACAATTGCTTTACGTCGCTCACCCATTTTCAGAAGGAGAAATGCCAATGCGAGCATCGCTCCTGATTCGTGTCGCCAATCAATCATCTCGAATGACACTAAAGGTTGAATATTGAAAATGACTTTTTTGAACTGTGCGAATTGTTCATCATCTCGTGTGCACATTGACAAACGAATAAGAGTAACTCCATCTTCGACTTCATCAAAAGATTCGATACGAAAAACAGCACCCATGGCTAGTAAAATTTCTCCTTCGTCGGCAACGGCGCTTAAATGAGATACATTAGCGAATGAAGGTACACAATCGCCGAGTGATGTATCGATCGAAACCTCAAATATAACTGATTCATGTTCGGGTCTTAATTGACCTGATCCAGAAAATATCGATGCTACTTGTCGATCCTCGGTTGTCGAAACAAACGAATTGATTGACATCAGATTACCTCGGTTACGTTTCCATTTAGCGTACTCTCCAGCCGTTATTTGCTGCCCTCGATAGACTTTTAATACGCATCCTAAATTCGAATTAAAAAAATATCATCAGCTCTTTTGCTTGCAAAGCATGAGATTGATAACGATTCATGAAAACTATTGTGTACAAACGATAATTCACCTTCCTTTTACCTTTATTACAGGCTCTGATAAACATATTTAGCTTGTGCTCTATCATTATTTGATTATAAGAGTACTTATTTGCAACTGTGATTCTGCGTGGAATTCATAGTTGTGCATTGATCTCTGTTAGGACCCTTGTTGGTTCTTTTTTCGCTCATTGGTTTTGCGTATGGATATTTACCTGTTCTTCTGTCAACAGTATACTCACACCCACATCCTCAGATAGCGTGGTGACCCTTCGAGGACAGATTTGAATCCATGATAGTCCGACATAGTGCTTATGATCACCAAGGCTATCCATGTAAAAATGTGATATATTTTCATGGTAGAGACAGCTTTTTAAGACCTGCGAAATGGTGCAAAAGTATAGAGGAAAATATGGTGCGCTGGATATTTTCTGAAGACAATACTGGTACCATCTGAT